AGATGAAGCCTCATTAAAACCTAATCCAGTTTTATCACTTACATGCTTACCAACACAAAACATCTTATCAAGCTTAATCTGCCCAGAAGTAAAAGCAATTAATTTCTCTTGAGATTTTTTCAATTCAAGTTTAAGAAAATTAAATTTGGTAATAAAAGATTCTCTAGTAGAATTAGCTTGACTTACCTCGCTCTCAAGGAATTTTACCTTGTCATGAAGATTTTGAATTTCAGATTTATTCTTCTCAAGCAATTTCTATTTTTACTTATCTTCCTTCTTCAATGATTCATTCTCCATCTTCAAGGTATCTCTTTCCCTTTCCAAGGCATCTTAAATGCTTTCTAATTCTGTTAACTTCTTAGATTGCTCATTGACATCCTTACTCAATAACTCAATTTGGGAAATATTTCCTACATAAACAGAAGAATTATTAGTAGTATCATCATCAATATGAGCAATAAATGAAATAGAAGTATCTTTATTATTTTCCTTTTCTTTCAATTTAGAATGATCTCCTTTATTACAATTTATATTCTTTCTATTTTTCAGGAACTTTCTAGAATTTTTAGATATGATGAAAACAATTTTTGAAAAACACAATAAAACTAAACTTTCCAACAAGGATCAACTCAATGTACAGAGAATTGCTCTGATACCAAATTATGAGTCTTAGGCAGCGGAATGTATTTTAGAAAGTTTTAGATTTTGTAAAACAGATCTGTGTCGTTACCAACTTTACTTATTTTAGCAGTTAAACAATTAATCGCATGTAGTAAAATAAAGCAAAGTATAAAGTTAGAGATGACACCAGGATTTTAGCGAGGAAACCCTAGTTGATAAAATACGTCAACTGTTATGGGAAAACCTCGTAAACTGTGCAATCCAAAGTAAACCAATCCACTATACTTGGAACAAAGTATACCGAACTTTGACTCCGGCTCACACCCTATCGTTCTACACCACACCAACCGCTGACGATCATCTGGCTTTGCGACTCCCCGTCCAACAACAACTTGACCTCAGGCTTACACTTGATATTTTTAGAAGAGTAGTTGGTAGATCAGACAACACTCTACGAATGCTCCAACCCTTCCACTGTCTGAATGATGTAAAAGAAGATCTGCTTTGTCTGATCGATATTGATACTACTGTATGATCACGATTAGGATTTGAACTCCACAACTCTAACCTAACTAGGTGAGTATGTGTATCTTCTAGGAAGACTACAGAAAAATCAACTTTGATTTTCTGAGAGGGATAAACTTCCTAAGGCTTTTAAAAATAATGAATCTGTATAACAAAAGCCGTGAATAAACCAATATATATGACATGGTTTATATAGAGGTTTGCAAAGTCCTATTCCTCTTGAAAATAAAGAAAATTTCGTGTATAGGACTTAGAAGGAAGTTTGGGATGAAAAAGGAAACAATTAGAACAGGAAACTGAAAATTCTAATGCTGTCAGAACTCTTGCTACCGGTTCCCAAATTTGCTAGAAAGCTCAAGATGGACTTCTGCTACCGGTTCCCAAATTTGCTACCGGTTCAAGAAGGTCAGAAGCCTTTTCGACGTACTTTGGCTACTAGTTCCCATTTCTCCCACCGGTTCCCACTAGACAGAATCCAACTAAAACTTGAATTTTTTGTATTTTGGTAACTCTGAACATATACCATATAGGTAATTGTGTCCTAAGTGGGAAACGATGTCCTAATGTGTTATTCTTTCCTTTTCGATGATCAATGGTACTTTCCTCTTCTGTTCAACCTCTAAATTCTGTAGTTTGTCAAGTCTGATATGGTAACTGAAATTACAACTCGACTAAGACTTGTTTTGTTACCGAAATATGCTAATTTATAAAAATATATCTCACAGTGCATAGCTTAAAGACAAAGATGAGCGCACCAACATGCATGAGAAGAAGATGGATTAGGTGTACAAATGCTCCAACCTCCAAATGAAAGATTGTTGTGATTTGTGGAGTCCTGAAGAATTTAAACAGTCAAATCTGTGCAAATTTAATTTTGTTGTCTACGTTTGCTACTGGGAGCCAACAAAACAAATATCCCTTCGTGTTCCTGTTTGGCATATCTGCCAGTATCGGGCTAGTAAGAGATGAATTCTCCAACACAGTGGGTTTGGAAGCTGGGATTTAAAGCAACACATATATTGATATATATATATATATATATATATATATATATATATATATTTGGATTGATTTTCAAACAAGATAAAAACAAACAATATATATAAAATGGATCAACAACAAAGTTACATCTGAGTACGGACTATCCAAACCGAATAGAGGCTGGCTAACATCAATCATGGTCCTTTTTTATTTATTTATATTATATTATTTTTAATATTAGATTGACAGATAACATTAAGAATGTATATATATATATATACATACGAATCTTAATGGGACCCTTCATCTGCCAATTAACACACAATAACATACAACAATGCCACACATAAGAATAAGAGGACGATCTTAGGAATGGGAAAAGCAAACCATAGTGATAGATACTTCCGCATAGGTGCCGACTTTTAGTCGAGCGATATATTTTTGTTTAGGGCAGACGAGTAGAACGATGGTAATTGTATGGATAACAGGATCTTTTTGAAAAGGAAGGTATCCAAAGCAACAGATAAGAGTAATTTGGTATCGTCTTTATATTTGGCTTTGATAAGAAGAGCGTAAGCGGTCCCCAAAACTACATTCACTTTCATGCCCACAACGACGCCATTGAACTCCAATTTATTTTCTTTGGTCGCCTCCTTTGCGATGCCTATCACTTTCGAGTCAGTTGGGTCAACCAGAGTAACCCAGTCTAGCACAGAGTGGACCACCCCATCAACATCAGCAACCTCCACCTTCCCATTACATGTCTCTTGTAGGTAGACCACCTTGTCAGGAGCACTACCATCAATTATTTGGACGGAAAGCTTCCCATTAGTTTTCTCATAAAGGGTCTCCCAAGCATCCGTATCACTGGACAGTGACATTTTCTCTCGCCGTATATATGTTCTCTCTGTAGCTATTTTCTCTTGTAATAGATTTTGATAGGGAAGTGGAGGTGGAGGGTCACGTATTTATAGGAACCACCATACAGGCTTTATTTGTGACAATCCCTTTGCTTTCAGATACATATAGGGATTAGTTTCTCAATAATTTTTGTTGTTAGAATTTTTATTTTATTTTAACAAGCTAGTATTAGTATTATATATATATATATATATAATATATCACATGTTCAAGCATCAACTTCTTCAGCAGCGTAGTTTGAGCATCAACTAAGTCTTGATCAACTAATTGACTTAAGTTACAACTTGGGATATATATATATATATATATATATGAAAGAATGGCAGAAAGAGAGAGGGAATATATTTATCAACTAATAGTTGACTTAATTTACAACTTCGGATATATATATATATAATATATATAACATGTGCAAGCATTAACTTCTTCAGCAGTGTAGTTTGAGCTAACTGTACAAATATTGTTCTTAATTGATCAACAAAGTCTTGATCAACTAATTGACTTAAGTTACAACTTGGGATATATATATATATATATATATATATATATATATATATATATGAATGAATGACTGAATGGCAGAAAGAGAGAGAGGGAAATATAATAATACGACTTTCCTAATCAAAACATATGTAGACTTCCAGCGAGCTATTGTTGTTAAAGAAAGACTTCAGCTCGTCTTTAACGGGTCAATGGATCCCAACAACAGAACAAAGCTAGAAAATATTAGTAAATTAAAAATTAAAAAATTAGTACGTCATGATCTACTGTACTCCTGACACAGTAAGACATTTATATATTTTCTTTGTTACTATTATTATTTTAAAGGGATAATTACGTATAAATGGGGTTAGGGCTCCGTATTTACTCAGAGGCGGAGTCAAAGTTTCATATTTCCCTAAAATGAATTGCTGACGTGGCACATGAATTATTACTGTTCAAGAAATGTTTTGCCAAAAATGTCCTTCTCACTTTTTTTGGTGTTGCCTAAAATGCCCTTTCTCCATAATTTAATATATTGCCCTAATTCGTTCGGTAAATACGATCTTCTTTGGCCCTAAAAATAAAATTCTCTCATTCGCTGCTCTCTCTCATCGCTGCTCTCTCTCTCTCTCTTTCTCCACGACTCTTTCTAAGCCGGTCCCTCCACCCTCTCTCTCTAGCTTTATCGCTGTAGGAATTGAGAAACCCAGCTCAATTTTCAGTCCAGCTACAATGGGCTCAGAAGAGGGATCAAGGGTTCTCGGTGAGCTTCAAACCATACATTTGTCAGTGCATTTTCATTGTTTCAGTTGAATTTTTCTTGTTTTCTTTTTTCAGCTGTAAATTTGGATTGAGTTATGATGATTTGGTGTTTCTTAAGCTTTTTTGTTGTAATGGTTCTTGTTTTTGTGTTTTCTTCTTATTGTAGGCTATTGGGTTTTCTAAAATTAGGGTTTTCTTCCTATTGTAGGCTATTGGGTTTTGTAAAATTAGGGTTTTCTTCCTATTGTAGGCTATTGGGTTTTCTAAAAATAAATATAGAAACTACACAACAGGAGCCAGCTGCAACTCCTTTTTTTTTTCACTCAATTTAATAGGAAAAATGTAGAGAGCGTGATTTTACATCATGGATCGCTGGCACTTATAAAATGTTTTACATAGCACTTGAAAAACAAGAGTTCAAATTTGAGGAGTTGTCACTTAAGAAGCAAGGAATTACTCTTATCGTGCACTATGGTTGGTGTCTCTCAAATTCGTTGTGAATCAGTTGCTCTGTTTCCAATTTATTTTAATTTTAATTTTTTTTTTTAAAAGAAATTGTCACTAAAATTTTCTTACTTCATCATCAATCAATTGCACAGAGCACCATCACATCAATCACTACAGACTCAACTGATTGATTTAACTATCTAACAAGCTATTGGTTGTTTGTGAATAGGCGAGTAATGGTGAGGAGCCAATGTAGCTGAAGCTATATTCTTCCTGGGGGAGCTCTTGCTCTTGCCGTGTTCGTATCGCTCTCAACTTCAAAGGTCTCTCTCACTCTACTACTTTCGCTCTCTAAATTTTGATCAGTCAATTTCTTCTGCCGGTTTCACTTTCTAAAACCCTGATTTTTTATTTGATTTTAGTTAAAAAAAAAAATTTTTTGTTAATTATTGACCATTAGTTATCGCCTCTTTCAACATAGATCTCAAATATGAGTACAAAGCAGTTGATGTCATGAAATGAGAACATTTTAGTCCTGGTGAGAACATACATGGTGTCTCAAGAAATTTCTTGTAGTATTTAGGCTTATTTATATGATGATAAAGTATGATATTTATAATAATTAACATATTGGGTGTCTGGCATTAATGTTACACTATGGACATTCAAACTTCAGAATTCATTTTTTGTTCACACATTATGATCAGTAACTTTTGTTGGTGGTGGATAATTTATCAAAGAAAGTTACTTTCAGCTGGAAATAGACATCAATTTAAAGGAGAAGTCACCCTCTCTTGAAAAGAGTCATAAGCTCTCTTCACTGGCTATTGGATTGAGAAAAATATCGTAATTTGTGAATGTAAAAACACAGTCTGAGAATCTTATATCAGTCCTATCCATAAAGAGAATTCATGGCTCTTGTCAACTGGAGATCTTTGGATAGCTTTACTATTAATTTAAAAGGTTTATTTGGAAATGCAGAAATGTAACACTAATTTCATAAGTTAGTGTTTGTCTTAACTTTTTAATCCATTTCATGCATCTAATAAGTGAAAACAAAATAGAAACTTGATTATTATCTATTGCTTGTAATATTATATATATATTCAGTTTGGCTTTATAAAATAGAGTCTTGAACGGTCGTTGCAATTTAATCATTGGCCTAAAAGTTTTTGGGACTCTAGCTCCATATTCTTTTTTGGTAGTCTTTATATATCTTGTTAATGTGTTATCTGTTTTTTGAGTATAGAATATTTAAATATCTTGTCAATATCTTGCTATTGTAGGCTATTGGGTTTTCTAAAAAGAAAGATAGAAACTATTAGATATAAGGGGACTACACAAAAGGAGCCGGCTGCAACTCCTTTTTTTTTTCACTCAATTTAATAGGAAAAATGTAGAGAGCGTGATTTTACGGGTTGGATCGCTGGCACTTATAAAATGTTTTACATTGCAATTGAAAAACAAGAGTTAAAATTTGAGGAGTAGTCACTTAAGAAGCAAGGAATTACTCTTATCGTGCTCGTATCATACTCTTTAAATACTAACCAATATGTGTTCCTTACTTTTTAAACTTAGTGCTTTCTAGACAGTGGCTTTAAATTGAATGTACCCACTAAATGGTTGATTTGTTAAAATAAGCTATATCCTATTATGCACTAAAATAATTGGATTGGTTATGTACTTTCTGCTACAATGGTTTTCACATAACATAATTGTCTGTGTTCGATGATTAACACTCGCAATCAGCATCTTTCTTGAGCCTCTTTGTTCTTTTGAAAGAATATTCTTTGAGCATTTGACTTGACCAATATATGAAAAATGATATATCTCAAATTTCTGTTGTTTCGAGACAGGAAACCTTCACTGACTTCAATTTTTTGTAAATAATGACAGGATAAGTTCTCATCTATTGAAGATAAAGTGGAAGTTGTTATTAAGATTTTTTAAATTGATGTCATTCCTGTTATTGTGAACTTCAGAAGGTTAGTTTCTATAATCCTCTTAAGAATGTATAATCCTCTGAAAAATACCCCTGCACACTATCATACTCTTTAGGATATATAATCGAAATCGTTATAAATTATAGGGATTATTACACATAAATGGACTTAGGGTATCATATTTACTAAGAGATTGAGTCAAAGTCCCATAGTTTCTTTAAAATGGGTTTGACCCAAAAGCTGAGGTGGCACATGAAAAAATACTGTTTGATATTTCTGTTGCCTAAAATACCCTTCTTCCTATTTTATGTGTTGCCTAAAATGCCCTTTTCTACACTTGCCTAATTTCAACCCCTAATGCCTTTCATATTCCATTCGGTGTAACCCTCTCTCACGACTCTTTCTCCCTCACTTGTTTCCTGCGATACAGATACAATCTGCCATGGCACGAACAATCTTCGATCTGCTAAAGGGAAATCAAATACTCAGGCTCAACGGTTCCTCTTTCCCTCTTTGCTGAAACCCTAACCTTTCTCTTCCTAATTTCTGGTGTAGCGGCAATAACTGGACGGTTGCAAACAATTGGGGTTTTTTACCGTCATCTCAGCCTCCGGTCACGTTATAACTCTTGAAATAGGTACTTTGACCTAATTAGAGCCCTAATGCTCTTTCATATTTCTATTTGTGCAGACCCTTCTCTCTCCCATTCTCAAATGAGACCTAGCCCTCACTCTATTGAATCCATCAATGAAAGCCTAACCCTTTCTAAGCACTGATATAACTTTGCCTCAATCACAAAGGCTGATTGTTTGAAGCTTTGTCTTTTGCAAGTTTCACCTTCAGAGGAAAATCGCCCAGGTACTGGCCTTGTTCTCCTTTCTTCCTTTTCTAAACATTCATTGATCTTTATTATTCTGCTTTCTTCCTTCTCTGAACTCTCATCAATTTTCTAATTTTTTCTTCAATCGCAGAAGTTATTTCTTCAAGCATAGGGATAAGCCCTAACCCTCTCTAACCCGGGTACTATTTTCCAATTTCCTCTTTCATCTCTGCCTTCCCCTAGAAAGTTGTAGAGTCTCTCTGTAAATGATACTATGTGTTGAAAATTTTAATCAATTAAGTTGTTGTTACTTTCTGCTGACATGATTTCAATTCATGTGTTGTTTACATATTCACTAGATTTGAGGATTCATATGCTGTAAACTGTGTTTTTCTGTCTTATGAAGTTGCTGGTTTTTTTTTATTTTCTTTTATTTATTTATTTTTTTAATAGAAGAATGATTCAGTTTTATCCTTTTTGGTTTTGGTTGTGCTACTGCTCCAATTGGGTGCATACTAATTTGCAATAAAAAGTGGAACTAAACTTTCTTGTTTCTCCAAAGATAAAATTAGAGGATTTTTTTTACTTTAAAAAAAAAAGATAAAAAAATATTAGAGGATTTTTCAAAATAACTGCATACCAGTAATACTGGTAATTTCTTTGTAGTCTCATTGTAAATATGACTATGATTACTATTGATAACTCCTCTGTTCATGGTAGGTGTGATGGCAATACAATTATTGGTTATATATTATGCAAGGAAGTAAATAAGTCAAATCCAAAAGTTAAGGGAAAAATAACTGTGATGTTAATGAGTTCTCATTGGGAAACACTTGCAACTAATCATGCAGAATTTCATAAAGTTGTGGTAAATCTCAAATTTCTGTTGTTTCGAGACAGGAAACCTTCACTGACTTCAATTTTTTGTAGATAATGACAGGATAAGTTCTCAGCTAGTGAAGATAAAGTGGAAGTTGTTATTAAGATTTTTTAAACTGATGTCATTCCTGTTCTTGTGAACTTTAGAAGGTTAGGTTCTATAATCCTCTTAAGAATATAATCGAAATCACTATAAATTATATTAACCCAAAAAGACAATCAGAGCTACTTCACCAAAAACCCATAAGCCTGAACTCTCTTCAAGGACTTCACAACTGTGACTAGTACCATGTGATGAGAGGTTATATACAAATTTATAAACTCAATCTACCATATAGCACAAATCCATGTATAATGGGTAAGGCAGTCAAGTAGTTCCTAATATAGTAGTAGTTATGTAAGGAAAAAGCTCTTCAATATTGGTATGTATAGAAGAGACTACGTACCTATGCTATGTCTGACTGTGTAGTTAAAAGTGCTATTTTATAGCCAGAAGTTAGACACATACGCGATAACTAAGTGGTTGCCATAGGGAATATCGGAAAGAAGTAGTACCTTAATCTGCTACAAAATAAGGAACTACGGCTACAAAATATTTGCTACAAGATATGGAGTATATATGTATTGGCTACTAACTACCTCCTGGGACATAATATGCACTACCTCCAATAATGATACTAACATTATATTTCTTCAATTATTTGGTACAATTTCAAGAATCTTGTTTAGTCACTTTTGTTTTTTTAGATAATTACTCCAAAAATATTATTTTTAAGTTTTCTAGTTAAGTTTAATGGTGGTTAATAGCATGCTTTTTACATACGTGCTTTAATTTTGGTGAGAAGGTGAATATAATGATTATGGAAGTATCAACTAGGTATAATCACTTATATAGGAATAAGTAGTTGATATATTCTACCAACAATTGCAGTTATCTTATACAATAAATGTGTTAATTATTTCATCTTTGTCTTAGTTTTGCATCTTTAATCTTATGACTTTACTTCTCAATTATTAGGGATTAGATTCCATATTATGCCTATTTGATTACTGAAATGTCACAATTTTCTCCCCTTACCAGAAACATATGCATACTAAAGATTTCTTTCTATTAAAATGTTGAATTCCAAGCGAATAATGTACTTCTTTTGTAGATTTTATACCTCAAGTTGCTAAAATTTTGTTCCAGACATTCCATCAAGCTAAAGTACAATTATTTCTAATAACGTAACAGTAGAAGTGCATGTTATTCCCAGCCATGAAAATAGTATTTTCTCTCTATTTTTTTTTCCTTGGCAAACTAGAAGGAGAAAGGACTCGAACACAGTAAGCTGGCCACTCTATCAATTAGGCCACTGGGTGATACTCTTTTCTCTATAGAATGAACAAGTTGACTGAAAAATAATTTAGGATAAGTAGATTATTGTTGATTAATTAATCTCATTTTGTTGGATTTGTCTTACTAATAATGGTGTCTATGCAAAATTTCATTTTGTAGCATATGTGGATGATGTTTCTTTGTGTATGTTGAGAATTAACAATGTAGGACAAAGGGCTAGCTATGTCATTAAATTTGTTTGGTAGAAGGCATGGACTTTGGTATTGATCATCCCAATCTTTTATAAAAGTTTAAGTCATTGCTTGGACTTTTTAAGTTAAGATGTAGGTTAAATTAGGCTAGAACACAACAATTTTGAACTGTCCATTATTTGGTAGCAGAGAAAATAAGGAAAGAAGAAAAACTTTAAGATTAACAAGTTTCTATAAAGGAGTAGAATTGTTACAAGATTCCATGTTTCCTAATTTCTTCTTGTTTTCCCAATTTCTTGGCAACCAAACATAGGATAAAGTATAAGGACTTAGGAAAAGATTGGTTGAATGGACTTGTATCCAAATTTTCAGATTTTCCAATAGTTATTAGGAAGCCTTTTTATGCATAATGTACAGTTTATTGCAAATTTCAATCACTTGTGAAAGTAGTACAGCAATTATTGAACCTTTTTTTACTATTTCGTTGTTATTATTGTATATATGTTTGAATATTGTTGATGTAGCAAGTCTCATGATTGTTTTTTCCTTTATACCTTATGTGGATACATAATTTGAAACTTTGAACTAGCATTTAGAGACATCGTAGAGCATTCCTTGGCAGATTATCCTGTTAATTTAAGTTTTTCATGCGTTTCACCTATCTTTTAGATTTGATATTCATTTGTTTACAGAAAAAGAAGTCAATGGTCCAAATTTAATCAACAATTAAAACTAAGAATCTACAGTCACACAGACACATTTTCTCAATCTTTTGCTCCAACAGTGAGAAGTTGCAAAGCATGACGCGCGTATTTTATTTTGACTAACAATTATGATAACAAGGCTCCAAATTTCCCATCCTCCAGAACTTCTTAAGAACTCAATTCATTTATGCGAACCGAGCTGAGTAATTGGTTTATTTGAGTGAGTCAAGTTTGATCACAACTGTTTAAAAATTAACCAAGCTCAAACTAAGCTCAGACACTGCTTCTAACCAGCCAAGCTGAGCATAAGCTCTATAAAGTTGGCTTGACTCAGCTTGTTTACAGCCTACGAAATGGCTGATCTCATACTTAAATATGTCTCCTTATAGTGGCCAGTTTAAGCTTTCACCATGTCACCTGACCCCTTTTTTTTATCATATATATATATATATATATATATATATATATATATATATATAAAGTAGCATTTTGAATACTAAAGAGTTGAACTATCACAAAAATATACTAGGCCATGTAGAAATTCCCACGTCTTGAAGAACCGGCTGGCTGGTGATTGTCCCTTCCACTTCCAAAACCTTTTCTCCTTTTGCTGATCGAAATGCAGAAAGGAGAGATGACCCTGATTGGGTCTTCAATTTTCTTATTGCCCTTTAAGAAAGACAAAAAAATAACTCCACTAGAAGTTGGATTTGATGTGACCTTATTTATAAATTCATTATAGGATAAATTATTTAAGCTTGAAACTTGAACGGAGACTCAAGAAAACGTCATCAGAATATCTCCCATCAGTTAACTGGACTCATGTACACATATTTTTCTGAAAGTAACATGTATGTGTGAGATTTGTTAAACCACCAAATTACAAATTCTGAGTTTCAACAAGAGTATATCTAAAGAAAACAAGGGTTGAAGTAGTTTTTAGTTTAGCATACAGTTGCCAGTTTGAAGAGAGCCTTGCATTCCTAAGCATGCTAACTCTATTTTCTTTCATTAATTCTTTCTTTATTTCTTTGTTTCTGATGCACACTTTCTTATTTCCTTACACTTAGAATAGCCTTCCTTAATTTACAATTATAGTAACATAAAAGCTAAAGCATGTGGTTCCTATTTTGTAGCATAACTACTGCATAAGACTCAGCTTAAATGAAGACTGGACTTATAAATTTGAATATCTGTGTCATGTTCGATTTTCTATTAATAGTTAATAAGTTGGTGTATATGTCTTAAGATGACTGTTCGTGTTCATTCTAGCTTCTCGTGTTTATGGTTATCTTGTTCTGAGATTTGTAACTGTAATTCTTGTTTTGCAAACTAAATCCTATTTGGTGAAAATTTTTATGATCTTTTTTATATACTTTTTTTTTTATTTATGAATTTTAGTTATAAATATTTGTGAAGATAATGACTGAAACAGGATCTCCCTTTGCAGGATTTGAAAGACTAATTGGTAAATTTGGGTTGAACTTTAGTCTTGAACAAGCTGAAGGCCCTTATTGTGGATTATAATTTTTACAATTGCAGCACCCTACGGTCTTACCATATTTTAGAGTGCTTTCATCACTTCATACTGGTAAGTCATATCTTTAATTATTTAAATATATATATATATATATTTTTTATTCCAGTTTTTTTCATGCTAATAATAAATTGGATGTTAACCGCATGAAGCATAAATCTGTCAATTAAGACAGGCACCCAATTGTATATGAAACAAAGTACAATATAAAGTAACAAAATTTATTAATATATAAACAACAAAATTTTCATTTTTTTATTTTTTTATTTTCTTTTGTGTGTGTGTTTTTGTGTTTGAAGGTTGAAAGAGTTGTGTAGTTATTCAGTTGTAGAAGCAACAAAAACACTTCCAGTGCTTCCCAAAAATAAAAATCATCATTATCATGGTGTTGTCATAAAACTTTATTTGAAAAAGGATAATTCTTAACTTATTTATTTGACTCGAGAAACTGATGTTATTAATATTTGTGGGCCAATTTGGGTGCTTAATTGGTAATTGATTGTGTGTTTGAATTTTGAATGTCCTAGATTCAAAGGGGGAAGCCACATAAACTTGCACTGAGAATGGCATAAACTTTATAAGTTGTAAACTTCCAGCACAAAATGAGTAGTTGGTAGTCCAAAACTCCTCAATTAAAGGATCACAGTGCTGCTTATTCAGTCTATTAGACAATAATAAAACTCCCAAATATCTAATTGGGAGGGTCCTAATAGAGAAATTAAGCTTTCTGAGAATTAGGTTTTGAGTAGCAGTCTCTATACCAGATCAGAATATGACACCTCTTTGCATTATTTGGAATCAAGCTAGAAATAGAAGTTAAAACTAAATTGAGCTATTGATTCTGTCAGTATTTTAACAGATTCAACATCCCAGCTGCGATTAACATAAGATCATCAACAAAAAGGTCCATTACTTATCCTCTGAGCTGAGCATTTCCAATGGTAATCGAAACCCCCTAGAGTTATTCTCTAATTAAAAATACGAGGTAGAACCTTCATTCCTATAACAAATGGTATGAGGACATTGGATCCTTCCTCCTTCCCTTATCAGGTAAACCATACAACCATTAACATCCAAGGAAAAGAACTTTTCAACAATTTCAATAAAAGAAATAAAAATAAAAACTGTAAGTGTTTTTTTTATTTCCTTTTATCTATTCGATTGGGTTAAGTGATGCTTTATATATGCTTATTTTTGTGTGTTTTACCTATCATTACGTGCTTAGTTGGATTAATTCTGAAGAATGTGTATTGAATTAATGAATTAGGAATATATGAGTACTCCCAAGTGCCTTTGTAAGCTAGCAGATTTGAGATTGAATCTTTTCAACATGTAATGTGTAGAAGTGCAAATTGGTAAATTTAAGTTGGACTGTTATGTCCATATATGTGCTCTATCCTTCCTTTTTGTATCTAATGTGCCTGTGTTGGTAATTTATTTGTAGATGTTGAATACCCGGTGTTCTCCAAATAAATTCAAGGAAACGGTTTGCAATTTAAGTGAAGACAAAAAGGTTGCCGTACAAGAGATTGGGTTTGGGTCCCTTTTAGACATCGAGTGTACCATTTTGAAGTGCAACCTGTGCTTATGGTTGGTAGAACACTTTGACCCTAGAACATCTCATCTCACCCTTGAATCTGGCGCTCGGATCCATGTTACGCCAAGTGACGTTGAAGAGGTACTTGGCCTACCCTCGGGAAGAGGAGAAGATGTGCCAAATTATATTGTACAAAGTGTGCATTGGTTAGAAAATGGCATTTTTTTAAAGGACGGTGTAATAGAAGTGCCAAACTTAGTGCATCAATTAGACGTTCTTCCTGTTGGGGATGACTTCAAGAGGGCTTTTGTCCTTTTCGCTTGCGGATCACTTCTAGCACCCATATCGAAAAATGAGACAAGCAAAAGGTTATTGGCAGCGGTTGACAATGTGGATGCTATTAAATCGTATAATTGGGGGAAGTTTGTTTTAGATTGGTTGAAAAAAGGAATTGCGTCCTATAAAGGAAAGGAAGGAAGAGAAGGTTGTACATACATACATGGATGCTTGTTCTTTCTCATGGTATGTTCTAAGATATAATATTTGTAATGTGTCTATCATTTTATTTTAAATAGCTATAATGTCATTATCATAATGGCTTATATGTTGTAGCTTTTCTACCTACACCGTGTGGATGTCAATGGACCAAAACCGAAGCCTGAGATGTCATGCGTACGTGGATGGACCAACAAATTAATAGGCGAGAGGTTGAATTTGGAGAAGCATAAATATAATGGTTTCGACTTCGGTGAGGTAAAGTTTACAACTGATACATCTGAAGATGCCGATAAGGTAATCACGTCAATTATGGCTTTTTATAATTGGTACTAAATATACGGTTATATTTGCATATTCATAATTACTTGGAACTCTACGGTTACATTTATATATTAACTGATATATATATTTATTAAACTTGTTTAAAATTGTTAGGAGTTGGCATATGAAATTATTAAAGTTGTTAAGAAATGGAAGCAACGGCACAATGTAGGCCAAGGCAGGGGGTCGAGATCCTCAGAACCCAGTTCATCCACACGACAACCCAACCCATCTTCGCAATTGTTTGCACAACACAATCCGATTGAGGAGGAAGATGAATCCCACATACCAGTGGAGGAGGAATTCGAAACCTCCACAAGACAAGCAAACTCACCCTGGCAATCTTTTACAAAACACGATCCCATGGAGGAGGAAGGAGAAATCCCCGCACCAATGGAGGAGGAAGTGGGAACCTCCACAGCAATGGAAGAGGAGCGTGATGTGCAGGAAGCAGTGATCCCTTTATTACGTGTTATAAAGCCTGGGCGCCATAAGGGATCACCTTGGGTTGAAATGAAGGTCAACCGATTGCGTGTCCTTCGTCCAGAAGCAAAGGCAGTCATCTCATATGCCATGGATGAGAGCAGAAATGATGAGTGAGAAATTATATAAATAATTTCTTATTTGCTCTATATTTACTTACTTTCTATGCTCAAACACTTAATATGTTATTGTTTAATTATAGTGAAATGCTGGTGAACATAAATGATATTTTCCTCACAAGAAAAGAGATGAGAACAATCTCTTACAATCATTGGATATCAAATATGGTATGTTCACTTAAAGTTCATTGATTTTTCAAACCAATCACACGCATGCATTAATGGTTTAAATGTGATCATTGTAGGTGGTTGAAGTCTATTGCCAAATGCTCCAGCTGAAACAAAAGCGTAGAGGAACCAAATTTTTCTTTCCGCCTTCGATTGGGGTAACAAATTCTTCTATCTATAGTGAATGTTTGTTTGACACATATTAGGTTATCAATTGTGTGCATTTTCAGATTGAACTTTCCAAGATACCTTCAAAAGTGGTTGATAGGAAAGGTAAAATACAAGCAGTTTGGAACAACTATAAAAGGATAAGGAATGTCGATGATAACAAAGTTTGCCAATTCAATATGGTAATATTTATCGCTTGCAAACATAAATAATTATTATACTTTTATCAAAAAAATATGATTCTAAAAGTAATTAAATTTTTACATTGTTAAATATGCAGCTTTTCTTTCCAATACTTGTAAATGAGAAACATTGGTGCTTGTATGTCTTTAACATTTGCGATAGTCGTATGGATGTGTTGGATTCAAACAAACATTCTTCGCATGATAAGCGTACTCCAGACAAGATGTCAAAAGATTTGGTAAACGCTTATTACATATGAGCTCATTTTTTTGATTATGTATTCATTTACTGTTAAATTAGGACGGTAAAGTATACAAGTTGAAGAACGTGGTACTGAATTTTTTAGTCTAATCATTTATATATTGTGCATTTGTAGGTAATGTTGGTTGAGGTATTCACCGGAAGAGATCTACAAAACTTCATATACAATGTGCCCAACGTACCTCAACAGCCCGATAGGTAATTTTATCACTTAATGTTCCTAGTTTGGTGTACTGATTATGTTCACAATTATAATTAACAGATACCTAAACAGTCTTTTATTCAGTGATAGTTGTGGTGCTTTCATGTTGGACTTCATGGAGAAATGGGATGGTTCACTCAGTCACCCAAAAGAGAAGGTGAAGCCCAATTCTATTTTTTACATGGGTCTTATTTATTTTTTTCCCCGAATGAAGAAAATACCGAATTACTAAATCACACAATCTCCTCGATACTCTTCGTTAATCATTTAATTCTCTGTTTTCTTCTAAACCATTGGTGCATTGTTAATCTAAGCACCCACTGGTCATTAGTCTTCAAAGGAAGAAATGGGTCTTGCCTTTAAAGGTTTCAAAAAATATATTTGTAAAACTGATCCACATTCCTACATACTTTTGTTCAAGGGTTGAAACTGGAGGGTCTTCAATTCCAATACATGCAAACATAATTTAAAAAATTAATGCAACCACAAAATGCATCCACTATAACGTTTTCCTTCCTCTTCACTGCACTCCCCATTCTGTTTTTACACGTTTTCCAGCTTATACCTTTCTTTTTTCTTTTTGCATCTTTTAAACCCATGTTTGTGTGCAAGTACTTTGCTTTCCGATCTCTCCCCGCTAGGCTGCAATGTCGTAGTGTCAATAGCGGGAAGACCAGGGGACTATGGCACGTGTTGAAACAAAGAGAGCGGTAAGCAACCCCTTTAGGCAACAAAATTTTCAACCTTAGAACCCCCTAATGCAGTATACCCTTAATGTGTGCCATTTTTTTGAAAGAGAAAGCATCCAGCTCTAGTGAGTTTTAATCTAACATGAAGTAAGCAACAGTACTCCCATGTAATGAATGATATAGAAAATGTTTGACATCCACTGTATAATGGGTCCTATCGAGTAGAAACCAGCTTTGCTAGATGAGGTTTAAATGAATAGCATATTCTTAAATATTTTCAGACAGTTTTTCATTGTCAAAGAATTCAGTATGAGATCAGTAGCTTAAATCATCAGTCAACCTTGTTTTTCCTACATCACCTAACCAATTAGATACGCAAATACTGGACTCCTGTCATTTTAAATGAACATATTGCAGTTAATATGGTCACTTCACTGTACTTAGTGGTGCTCATTAAAAATGAACCGAACACAAAAGATACTGAAACTACGACATATTGAAATGAATGATTAAAAAATTTCAAAATAAATAGTCACTTTAAGATTACTTTTGGAATGTCAGAAAAAAGGTGTGTGCCATTGAGTGTTTGGAATCAGTAAAAAAGGATAACTATTTTGGGACAGGGAGATCTTTCGTATTATTAGATTTGTTTTGGTTTTGTTTATGTTCTGTCTCTGTGCTGATCTGACCAAATTGCTAACATATTTCCCAAGGATGAAGCTACCTGTTTATGCAATATTTCACATATAAAAGTTTAGTATCACCGAGATTTTGTGCATATGCCAAATTCAACATTGTTGAAAAAGTTTTCTTTATCAAATATATAGTTTCTGCAACACTAGATTCCTATCTATTTACACTTATATGTATTCACGCATGAAGTCCATTTCCCTATCCTATATTCATGATTTGTCTTTACCTGGTTTAATTTGCAGGTGGATGTTGATAGATTACGTGCAATTATTGCTTCAAATTTGCTTTCAGATGACAATAACAAAATGAAGGATTTTGTAAAGAACAAAGCACTTTATCCATTTGGTCAAGCATGTTGATTTCAAGTAAGCTTCCATCAGCTTACTTGTGGTTAGTAATTTTTTTTTTATTTTTTATTTTTATGATTCTAACATCACCTCCATCAGCTAACAAGGTACCATTTACCTCAAGGAACCTCACATACCAGTATTTGCCCAGTTGGAAGCTAGAGGAAGTGGGATAGGACGATCGTTGAATTTTCTAAAAAGTGGTACCTGAAATGATGTGGGATATGGGACATTTGTATTGTTGAATAGTGTCATTTTTTTTCATGTATTTTGCACTCTATTGGTGTTAGCTATTTTTAAAGTTTTAAAGAATAGTAGCTTTGCAACTTTTGATTGTGGATTAGGTTGGTATATTTTTGTAACTATTGTATGGCTTATTATATTGGCATCTACCTTACATGAAATCAAATGAAGTTGCTCTTTTGGGTTCTCAGGAATTAGTATTGTATGGCTTATTATATTAGGGTCTCAATGAAATTTCTTTCACTACTATATTAATGTACTAATTTCAAATTTGATGGAATTTAAAACTGAAGCAGTTTATAATGAATGAAAAATTGGTTTGGATCTTCCTTGGTTCCATGGTGTCGATAAATGGATAGTTTAATGAATGAAAAATTGGTTTGGATCTTCCTTAGAGAAAACGTGGTACCTTGACGCCAAAAAGAAGTACCTTCAGTTCAAAAAACGTGGTCCCTTTGGGAAAAATATTGTACCTTTACAAAAGGTACCTATTTTTGCAATTGAATATGGTATTACACCCCACATCGCTAATTAAGTTGCATATTACATCCACAAACAGCTCCATTAGCGCCATGAATAAGTGTTTAGAGAAAACGTGGTACCTTGACGCCAAAAATGAGTACCTTCAGTTCAAAAACGTGGTACCTTTGGAAAAAAAGTGGTACCTTCGCAAAAGGAATTTATTTTTGCAGTTGAAAACGTGGTTTTATACCCCACACCGCTAATTAGGTTGCACATTAAATCCATAAATAAGTGTTTAGAGAAAACGTGGTACCTTGAGGCCAAAAAGAAGTACCTTCAGTTCAAAAAACGTGGTCCATTTGGGAAAAAAGTAGTACCTTTACAAAATGTACCTATTTTTGCAATTGAAAATGGTATTACACCCCGCATCGCTAATTAAGTTGCACATTACATCCACAAATAGCTCCATTAGCGCCATGAATAAGTGTTTAGAGAAAACATGGTACCTTGACGCCAAAAAGTGGTACCTTTAGTTCAATAACATGGTACCTTTGGAAAAAAAGTGGTACCTTTGCAAAAGAGATTTATTTTTGCAATTGAAAATGGTATTACACCCCGCATTTCTAATTAAGTTGCACATTACATCCATAAATAGCTCCATTAGCGCCATGAATAAGTGTTTAGAGAAAACGTGGTACCTTGACGCCAAAAGGTGGTACCTTTAGTTCAATAACATGGTACCTTTGGAAAAAAAGTGGTACCTTTGCAAAAGAGATTTATTTTTGCAATTGAAAATGGTATTGCACCCCACAGCGCTAATTTTCTTGCACATTACATCCACAAATAGCTCCATTAGCGCCATGAATAAGTGTTTAGAGAAAACGTGGTACCTTGACGCCAAAAAGTGGTACCTTTCGTTCAATAACATGGTACCTTTGGAAAAAAAATGGTACCTTTGCAAAAGAGATTTATTTTTGCAATTGAAAATGGTATTGCACCCCACACCGCTAATTTTCTTGCACATTACATCCACAAATAGCTCCATTAGCGCCATGAATAAGTGTTTAGAGAAAACGTGGTACCTTGATGCCAAAAAGTGGTACCTTTAGTTCAATAACATGGTACCTTTGGAAAAAAAGTGGTACCTTTGCAAAAGAGATTTATTTTTGCAATTGAAAATGGTATTACACCCCGCATTTCTAATTAAGTTGCACATTACATCCATAAATAGCTCCATTAGCGCCATGAATAAGTGTTTAGAGAAAACGTGGTACCTTGACGCCAAAAGGTGGTACCTTTAGTTCAATAACATGGTACCTTTGGAAAAAAAGTGGTACCTTTGCAAAAGAGATTTATTTTTGCAATTGAAAATGGTATTACACCCCGCATTTCTAATTAAGTTGCACATTACATCCACAAATAGCTCCATTAGCGCCATGAATAAGTGTTTAGAGAAAACGTGGTACCTTGACGCCAAAAAGTGGTACCTTTCGTTCAATAACATGGTACCTTTGGAAAAAAAGTGGTACCTTTGCAAAAGAGATTTATTTTTGCAATTGAAAATGGTATTGCACCCCACACCGCTAATTTTCTTGCACATTACATCCACAAATAGCTCCATTAGCGCCATGAATAAGTGTTTAGAGAAAACGTGGTACCTTGATGCCAAAAAGTGGTACCTTTAGTTCAATAACATGGTACCTTTGGAAAAAAAGTGGTACCTTTGCAAAAGAGATTTATTTTTGCAATTGAAAATGGTATTGCACCCCACACCGCTAATTTTCTTGCACATTACATCCACAAATAGCTCCATTAGCGCCATGAATAAGTGTTTAGAGAAAACGTGGTACCTTGACGCCAAAAAGTGGTACCTTTCGTTCAATAACATGGTACCTTTGGAAAAAAAGTGGTACCTTTGCAAAAGAGATTTATTTTTGCAATTGAAAATGGTATTGCACCCCACACCGCTAATTTTCTTGCACATTACATCCACAATTAGCTCCATTAGCGCCATGAATAAGTGTTTAGAGAAAACGTGGTACCTTGACGCCAAAAAGTGGTACCTTTAGTTCAATAACATGGTACCTTTGGAAAAAAAGTGGTACCTTTGCAAAAGAGATTTATTTTTGCAATTTAAAATGGTATTGCACCCCACATCGCTAATTTTCTTGCACATTACATCCACAAATAGCTCCATTAGCGCCATGAATAAGTGTTTAGAGAAAACGTGGTACCTTGACGCCAAAAAGTGGTACCTTTAGTTCAATAACATGGTACCTTTGGAAAAAAAGTGGTACCTTTGCAAAAGAGATTTATTTTTGCAATTGAAAATGGTATTGCACCCCACACCTCTAATTTTCTTGCACATTACATCCACAAATAGCTCCATTAGCGCCATGAATAAGTGTTTAGAGAAAACGTGGTACCTTGACGCCAAAAAGTGGTACCTTTAGTTCAATAACATGGTACCTTTGGAAAAAAAGTGGTACCTTTGCAAAAGAGATTTATTTTTGCAATTGAAAATGGTATTGCACCCCACACCGCTAATTTTCTTGCACATTACATCCACAAATAGCTCCATTAGCGCCATGAATAAGTGTTTAGAGAAAACGTGGTACCTTGACGCCAAAAAGTGGTACCTTTCGTTCAATAACATGGTACCTTTGGAAAAAAAGTGGTACCTTTGCAAAAGAGATTTATTTTTGCAATTGATAATGGTATTGCACCCCACACCGCTAATTTTCTTGCACATTACATCCACAAATAGCTCCATTAGCGCCATGAATAAGTGTTTAGAGAAAACGTGGTACCTTGACGCCAAAAAGTGGTACCTTTAGTTCAATAACATGGTACCTTTGGAAAAAAAGTGGTACCTTTGCAAAAGAGATTTATTTTTGCAATTTAAAATGGTATTGCACCCCACATCGCTAATTTTCTTGCACATTACATCCACAAATAGCTCCATTAGCGCCATGAATAAGTGTTTAGAGAAAACGTGGTACCTTGACGCCAAAAAGTGGTACCTTTAGTTCAATAACATGGTACCTTTGGAAAAAAAAGTGGTACCTTTGCAAAAGAGATTTATTTTCTAAAATTGAAAATGGTATTATAACCCACACCGCTAATTAGGTTGCACATTACATCCATAAATAAATCCATTAGTGCCATAAAGAGTACAAACTTTATTCCAATCTATCTAACTTGAGGGAATGAGTAATACAAAATATAGTCCAACATCACTTAAAACATTACACATAAGCTAAATTTTTTTTTTTTTTTTCTATAGAAAAACAATTATTCTCTCCCTAATAGGTAAAGAAGCTGCTTTTAAGCCAGTTCCATTATGAAATAGTACTTTGCAAAAAGTTCTCCTTACCTGATTTGTGTCCATAGTTCTTCAAAGTTTTTCTCCCGGAACGGAGCTCTCAACGACTACAACTTCCACCAGCGTTCCTTAAGCAATTTGATAGAGTTTTACCTTCCAAGTCTATAATTAGGAGTTATGCAAGCAAATCGTAGCGGGTTGAAGTGAGAGAGGTTAATAACACAAAATATTTTTACAAGGGTTAGCATGAATTTATGGAAGACAATTCACTAGAGTTTGAAAATTTCCTAGTAACTTATTATATATACTGAGGAGATTTCCTAGTATTTTCTTATATATGAAGGAAGAACATTTGATGGTTGAAGACAATGGCAAGCAGCAAAATCCTATACGTCGGAGGGGTCTCATGGCCTCACGAAATGTCGTGAGGAGTTAAAAATGGAATAGTTTCAAATATGAGGAGTTAAAAATGGAATAGCTTATAATGCTATAATGAATAGAAGCCAAATAATAGCAAAATAAATACAGGGTACATTTGTAAAAACACTTTTGAAACGTTTATTGAGGGAAAAATAAATACACACTTGAACACATTGAAAAATAAATACACACCAAATCTCGATGGAGGTGATGACGATTACATGCCAGGTTAGTTTTACAAAAAAAAATGAACCATCGATGTGAGGAATTATAAATGGAATAGTTTTGAGAACGATTGAGAATGTAAAACAACTACTTTCAATCCATGCATCTCTTAACGAGTACTTTCGTTCTATATACTTTCGATCCATAGATCAACAACTGAGATTTACTAGTGCTAATGTTATGGTTTTGTGCATATGCCATAAGTCTATTTATAGAGCCCAATTCACAGACATGTGAATGAATTTTACCCATATCATGATTTGGCAAAAGGGACTTACACATCTCTCTCTTTGGCATGATAGGGGTGTCTTCATAATAATTGTCGTGTTATACACCTAACACCACTATTTTTAACTTTACCCATGTGATGATAAGATGAGAAAGTGGATTGGTTTTGTGTATCTACAAGAGCTGATTTTTTCAGTGAGAGTCATATTCTGTGACTAGCCATGTGATTGAAAAAAAAGCCAAATAATTTGAAGTGGCCTTACACCATGGCAGATAAAGATGAATGGTCACATCATCAAGAAAAAGCCTTAGTGTCTGAAAAAGTTATAAATAGTGGCATTGTTGTCATGAGGC